GACGGGGGTTTGATTGCCGGAAAGCCGGACATGTCCGGGAAAAACCGGACGTATGGTAACCCTAACCAACTGTGAGGCTGTCTTGAGTTGGGGACTGGACTGGCAGAAAAATCCTGCTCCAGCTGCTTGCTCCCAGCTACGCCGGGTACTGCAGGGCTGGTGCCAAGGACCTGGCCCAGCAGCTCTTCCAGATTGCAGCATCAAGGGTGCTGAGGCCAGCCTTCAAGCTGGAGCTGAAGAGGGGACTGCGAGAATATGTGATGCATGTCAACGTGGGGGGGGGGGGGGGGCTATGCTGATTCAGCATGCCCCGAATCAGCGTTCGGGGGGAGCCCCAGCCAAGCCCAGCCCTGCCTGTGACTCTGAAGCCGGTGCTGAGAGAAGCAGCAAATGCCCACTGGAATAACCCCCCCACCCTCGCTCCCCCTCTGTGTCTCTGCACAATTTCACTAATTAAAATGCTGGAGCCCAGCTGCTGCAGTAATGAAAGAGTTCAGGGGAAGCTCGGCTCGGCAGGGCCCTGCAAGGTATTTGGCCCTGCTCCCAGCCAGCCCTGTAATCATCGCTGACTCAGCAGGCAACTTGGGCAAAGGTTCATCCAGTCAGTGACAGGGAAGGGGGGGGGTTGCTTGCTTCCAATTTCCGCTCCAGTCCTGGTGACAGCATGCAGAAACCTCAGGGGTCTGCCCAACAGACTAGGTAGCAAGACATTGTCCATTCCGGGGGCTGCCCGCCCAGATCAGAACACTGGATTGGGAGAGGCGACTCTATCCCACTCCAGTTCCACCCTTGTGCTTTGCAATAGTAACTTCTCAGCCACTCCTCCTGCAAGGGGGCTAGTTAGTCACAACAGGCATCTGAACCTCTCCACATAATCACTCAGTGTTTGTGCTTCTCTCCTCTCCTCTTACCTCACACTCCTTCAGTGGCTCACGGAGTGGGGTCTTCTCCTCCCTCAGCCTGGGTGTCCCACAAGGATCTGTCCTCCTCTTCTCTCTTTACCCGTTGCCTCTGGGGGATCTCAACCACTCACATGGCTTCAGCCACTGTCTTTATGCCAGTGACTCATAACTCTACCTCCCCTCTCCTGACCTGCCTCTCTCCATCCAATCCGCATCTCGCCCTCTTGCTGAGACTGAACTGATCGCCCCATCTTCCCTCCCTAACCTTTCCCGCTTCCTCTATCCTTACTGATCACACCCCCAACCCTTCTGACATTCAGGCCTTGGGGTCCTCTTTGACTCCTCCCCCTCTCCTTTGCCCCACCCATCATTGTGGGGTGTCCCAAACATGCTGCTTCTTCCTCTGGATAACATTACCGATGTTGGCACAGGGCTACTTGGGGATGGTAGTTATTGATTTCATTTATTGATCTGAAATCTAACGATTTTGACTGTATCTGCTATCCCCTTCCCTAACGCAGCCTCGGATACAGCTTTATACAATTTTTTGTAAGGCTGGAAGGGACTGTTTGGATATGTTCTCTGACCTACACGGCACAGAGTATAGCAATTGACCTAGTGATTCCTACACTGAGCCCAATAACTTGCAGTTTAACTAAAGCAGGGGGTAACATCTTCCTGGCTGCGTTGCCCCAGTCATGTTTCCATGTAGACACTCACTGCAGCGACGGGAGGGGTTCTCCTGTCCCTGGAGTTCAGGGATTCTCAAACTTCATTGCACTGCGACCCCCTTATGACAACAAAAATGACTCCATGACCCCAGGAAGGGGGACTCAAGCCTGAGCCCACTGGAGCCCCGCCACCCTGGGTAGGGAGTCCAAAGCCCAAGCCCAAGGGCTGCAGCCCTGGGTGGGGGGCCTGTAACCTGAGCCCTGCTGCCCGGGGCTGAAGCCAAAGACCGAGCCCCACTCCCCAGGGCTGAAGCCTTTGCTTCAGCTTTGGCCCCAGGCAGCAGGGCTCGGGCTTTAGCCCCGGGCCCCAGCAAGTCTAAACACCAGCCCTGGCGACCCCATTAAAATGGGGCCGTGACCCACTTTGGGGTCCCGACCCACAGTTTGAGAACCGCTGCTTAATTCACACACCCCACGAGAGGCAGTAGCTAGGTCAACTTCCATTGACCCAGCACTGTCTGCACCAGTGGTTACATCAGCTTAACTACGTCTCTCGGCATTGTGGCTTTTTACACCCCTGAGAGATGTAGCTGTGCTGATGTCCGTTCCCAGTGTCGGCCAGCTCTGCGTGACCTAGTGGCCAAGTCCCATTTACACATGTGATTTAAGAGCCTAAGGGCTTGGCTACACTCAAAACTCCAGAGCGCTCCCGCGGCAGCACCTTGAAGTGCGAGTGTGGTCGCGGCGCTCTTCCAGCTCTGCAGGTACTCCACCTCCCCGAGGGGATTAGTTTACAGCGCTTGGAGCACGGCTCCCAGCGCTGGGGGACTGTTTACACTGGCACTTTACAGCGCTGTAACTTGCTGCGCTCAGGGGGGTGTTTTTTCACCCCCCTGAGCGAGAAAGTTGCAGTGCTGTAAAGCGCCAGTGTAGCTATAGCCTAAGGCCTGGTCTACACCAGAAAACTAGGTTGAACTAACAAAATCAGTCAGGGGTGTGAAAAATCCACAGCAGCGTAGTTAAGAGAACCTAACCTCCGGTGCAGGCAGCATTAGGTCAATGGAAGAATTCTTCCATCGACCTGGCAACCACGGAGGTGGATTACCTATGCCGGTGGCAGTACCCCTCCCATCAGTGTAGATTGTGTCTATACTGAGCCGCTACTGCGGCGTAGACAAGCCCAGAGTGTCGCTAACTTTCATTAAAACTCAAAGTACTAAAGCCCAGGTCCTCAAGGGTATTTAAGCTCTTAACTCTCATTGATTTCAGTGGGAGTTAGACACCTAAATACCTTTTAAAATCTGGCACTAAGTCACTTTTGAAATGGGACGTAGGCTCCTAAACCACTCAGATGCCTTTGAATATACTCTCTATATGTGTGTGTGTGTGTGGACAGCACCTAGCGTATTGCAGGGGCGGCGCGACTACAAATCTGCTGGATTAAAAGGTACGTCTAGGGTGGCGTGTAGAGTACGGACACTGCACACCCATGGGTGTCTATAGCATGTAGATGGTGTGGCATGACTTAGGGGGGTGGAGTGCCCTACACGCCTGAATCCCCCAGGGTACATACCCTACATGGCTCTCTGCCCACCCAAGCAGTGACTCCCGTCTACACTGCCGTTTGTAGCAGTGCAATGTCCTGCTGCCTCCCACCCCTTCCAGAGCCTTTCACTGTGACGTGTAGTCACACACTGCAGTGACAAGTGGGATGCAGCCTGCCTTTCACTGCAGCACGTTGGTACTCAACACGCCACCGTAAGTGTGGACATAGCCAAAGAGAGACCCAAGGATTCAGTGCAATGGGCACAGAGTTGCCATGTGCGTCTGCAATCTCTCTTTCAGCGAGTGGCTGGGCGTATTCAGCTCTCTCCCAACACTCCACACTGCTCTATTTCTCCAGTCTCCAAAGGCTCAAGAATTCCCTTGGCGATGCAGAAAAAATGCTGGAGTGTCTGCCTTAAAAAATGCCTTTGCAATGACTGGAGGCTGCCAAGCACTGCTCTCCTCAGACCGTTTTCAACTGGCGATGACGCCGGTCCGAGGGAAGCTGGCCACATCTGGTGCTCAGCTGAGCTGCCTCGGAGAAACACATGGTTTGGGTTTGGACACTTCAGACCTCCTGTTTCTGGTACAGGATTAGTGATCTCAATAGGGCTATAGATCACACACGGCACCTCAGTGCACAAAGCCCTGACTGGGGAAGAGAGCGACTCATGCCCAGGAGGGTTTCACTGGAGAAGCTCTGGGTAATAACAATAATACTGTGAGTGTTTTATCTGAGAGTCTCAAAGCACTTTACAAATATTAACTCATTAAGCCCCGGAACGCTCTCATTAAGTCCCTGATCCTGCATTCCTCACACATTCACACTCTCCACAGTCAGTGGGCTGGACCCTCAGCATAGCTCTACTGGAGTCCTTGAGCAACGCTGATTTACACCAGCTGGGGCACTGCCTGGGCGTTGTGACTATGCAGGATCAGACCCCTTGTGGTGCAGTTATTATCCCCATTGTACAGCTATGGGAACCGAGGCACAGAGAGCAGAAGGGACTTGCCCTTGGTGCGAGAGTGGAAGAACCAGAAATAGAAACCAAGCATCCTGGCTCCTGTTTCCCCGGATTTAACCATTAGATTACACTCTGTCACAGTCGTTCTATCCTGAGAGCTGTGACCTGTTTGTTTATCCTCATTATAGGAAAGACAAAGCCTTCTAGATGCCCCCCAATTTTGAAATCCTTGGGGTGCTACATATGCCTCCCCTTTCCCGTCCTGAGTTTCCAGATGGGCACATGACTTACCGTAAGCATGTGGCCGGTGTCCCGCCTGCTCCTGTGCAGGAATATTCCACGGTCAGGATTTTATTCTCGGGACAAGATTCGCTGCAGGAAAGATGAAGGAGGAGTTTAAGTCTAGTTTGTTCCTTCCAGACTGGATCGCAGGCTGCCTTGGTTCCTAAAGCCACCTCAGCCTGTCCCAACTGAGCGTCATAAGCACCAGTCAGTAGACATGGTTTGGTGGCTTTTGCTCACTGGTCTCGGGTCTGGAGTGACATGAGGGCCTTAAGGTTGTATTTGTCAGAATTAACTGTCCCTCCAAACAGACCACGTCACAAGCAAGTGCCCTTGGAAACTTGTGACCTGAGTAGGGTTACCATATTTCAGCAAGCAAAAAAGAGGACGGAAGGAGCCCCGCCCCTGTCCTGCCCTAGCCCCGACCCATCCTGCCCTAGCCCCGCCCCTGCCCCTCCCACTTCCCCCCTC